TGAAAGGCGAGTAGGCTGGCTTAGGTCAAGTCCTATTTCAATGTTGATGGCGCAGCCGTAATGACCCGCTGGGCTGGGCCCATAACCCGCAATGACCCGCTGGGAAAAAAGGGGATTCACCGGATCATTATCCTTGGAGGTGATTGTGGGGCCCGGTATATATACCGCAACGGCAGCGGCGAAAGAAGGACTGGCACATCCCGGCCCAAGCCCCGCGCCACCCTCGCAACCGCGCGCAGCAGCATGCTGCATAGGATTCCTAGGCGCGCGTCTTGTTTTTAAGGTTCTGCACGGATGGAACTGCGAATTAGACGGACGGACGGACAAAATTGCGCATGGGTGATCTTCAATAACGACCCCCGGAAAAGGGGGTAAGATTTTTTTCAAATCCAAAGACCTCCTTCGGGGGTCTGAATAATGGTCGGTGAATTTTGTGCTAATATCTGGAACAGTTGTCCTCTGATGAAGCAGTACATAATCTCCTGTAAGGTATTCCAAAGGTAGTTTGACAGCACCGCGCCGCGTCTTCCATTTAGCGTGCTCACGTTGGCGATACTTGCTCACCACTGCACGGACATTGTCGAGTCGATTCAAGATCGAACCCGGTGATGTCTGTATTTGCTTGTTGCTAGAGCGGGTCTCCAGGTTGAGATAGGCCGAGCGGTTCAAGCTAAGGCGCAACAGGACCGGGTCGTCGCGTTGGGATTTGGAAATGCCTTGAAGAGGCGGATCAAGAGGGTGGCCTAAATTGTCCACGTGGCTGGTAACATATGAACTAATTTCAACGCTGCCAGGGCATCTTCTGGTGCGTTTTCTTTGATGATGTCGACGTTTAATTTGTCGATGCCAGGATCGGGCTCGGGGACCGTGTTTCGATATGAAGCGTCTGCTGTAGGGACCGTGGCGTGGCGCACGTTGAAGTCGTATTCTGAAAGTTTGCGCAAGCATCGGCGCGCAGTTTGAAGGGCGAATGCAGTTATGGTCGTAGCCGATCAGCAACTCAGGCGATTGCCCGTGCTTCGAGCCTGTTGGGGTCACCGAGCTGGGTTGGCAATTTTGTAGGCTCCTCGGAAGTTGTTCGTGTCTTCCGCTCTGGGTGCTCTGGCTTTGGATTCGAAGATGCCGAGGATCTGCTCAGCTGCGAGTCTACCCTTGTTCGTTTTGCGGTAGGCTCTGAATTGTCGGAACCATTCTCCGGGGTCTTCAGTTTCCTCGCTTAATGGCTTGTCCAGCCCGTGGAAAGTGTTGATGTTAATAATGCCGGAAGCCATTTTGTGTGTGTGTGGCTACGGCCAACTTTATTTGCGCTTTGGTAGCTGCTGTGATGAGTGCGCCTAGCGCCTCTTCGGCTAGATACTGTCTTGCGCGTTGAACTTAAAGCCGGTTGAGTCGATCTTCCTTCTGCTGCTGAATTTGTTATGCTGAGAAACTAATGCTGCTCGTCACATAGTAATGTGGTTTGTATAGTAACAGCGTCGCGAACGAAGCGCGGTTTGTGTTCAGGCGGGTAGCCTGTTGAGGGAATAGATCCCTGGAACGTGCTCTGGCGAATAGCCTTGTTGTGGGAATAGATCCCTGCAACGTGCTCAGACGGATAGCCTGTTGTGGGGAATATAACCCTGGAATGTGTTCAGGCGGATAGAGTTGCAGAACGCCCAAGGCCGGCAGCGCGCATAGTCTGCAGAGCCGGGACGTGAGGAAGTGGGCAACGGCGATGTCGGTGGCGCTGATGCCGTTGCGCGTGGTGCGCCGCGGATCCGCCTTGTGTGTCTGGGCGAACGAGACGGCGAGATTATTTGCCGAATTCGTAAAATTTCAGTTTGAGTTACTTCGAATACGATACCGCCTTGGCGCGGTGACGCCCCGCCCGTCAGAGTACGATGAGTCCGTACACAAGTCCCAAATTGTTACGCTGCGTCTCTAGACTATGAGACGGCGCAGTGCAAGATGTGGTTACATTGTGGTATGTTGTTTCGGCCTAGCGGCGAAGGGCCCGGACTTTTTCTGGGTCGGGCTCAGCGGCTACAATCCTGTTCTGACTAGGAAGCTCGGGGCGGCTCTGCGGGGCGACGACTAGGCGGCCGTCTGCGAGCTTGCGAACGCCTGCAAACGCCTGCTAACCATGACTAGGCGGCCGTATGCGAGCCTGCGAGCGTCTACGAGCGCCTGCTAACCATGACTAGGCGGCCGTATGCGAGCCTGCGAGCGCCTGCGAACACCTGCGAACCATGACCAGGCGGCCGTCTGCGAGCCTGCGAACGCCTGCGGACAAGTCCAACGTCGTCAGCGCCGCGCAGTCGCCGAGCCGCGCGACATTCCACTGTGCATTTGTAAGAATAAACTTACGACATCCGGATCGAACGGCCCTGAAATTGCACCGGACCTTAAGTCGGGGGCGCCATACATGAGTAAGGTTTAGCAGAAACATGCGCAGGCATCGAACCGTCGACCCGGGGGGCCTTAGATTCGAAGCTCTGGGAGCAAGCGAATCCCGGGGCTCTCATATGTATGGGTGGCACTGTAAATTTGTTTTGTAATTACTGTAATAGTAATTAAACTGCAATTGCCAGGTTAGTTGGTATTTTGATGGTTTTACGATGGTATTTTTAAGTAATTACTATGCAATTACTATGCAATTACTGTAATTATAGACCCTAAAATCAATTGCACTGTAATTGCCCCACCCCTAATCAGATGCGCAAGACCCGGGGGAAAGCTGACGCGACGCGTGTCGTGGACGAGCAGGGCGCGGACGAGCAGAGTCAAATAAGGAGCCACAGAGACCGAACGGTTTCCAAGGGCAAAGGACGCCGCGGGAGCGGAATTCATACGGTCCCTGGGAGCTCACACACTCCTGAGCTCCCGTGAACTGCATAAACACACACCGACCAATATGTTTCGAAAATCTGTAGAAACTTGCTTGGAGTTTCTGTGAATTGGTAGTGAATTTCGGTGAATTTTCGGTGAATTTTCGGTGAATCTGAAATGAATCTGAAGTGATTTTTTTCTGAAATTGCAATGTGTGGCTGGGGCAAGTAGAAATGCAAAATTACTACTAGCAAATCAAATCCGAGTTAGCTGGCCTACGGTGTGGATCTTGGCGAGCCCGATCGAATCGTCCAAACGCCGCTGTAAAAATCGTCGTACTCGTCGCGAGAGGACCCGGGGCAAGTAGGAATTGAACAAAGAAGGGTACGTTCCCCCGTTTTCCCCAAAAGCGAGTTTTTGGCTGTGCGTATGCGCACGCTCGCGCGGGTCGCGCCCAGATCACTAAAACCGCTCCAACACTAAATCGCGTTTTCCTTGATAACTCCCCTCGCCAATAAGGTTACATTTTTACTTGCCCCAGCCACATGTGTATTTTGTAAGACTGAACTTACGCCATCCGGATCGAACGGCCCTGAAATTGTACCGGACCTAAAGTTGGGGGCGTCGGACATTAAGAAAGTTCAGCGGAAGAGCCTGGGTCGACCAGGGGGGCCTTAGATTCGAAGCTATGGGGGGGGGCGATTCCCGGGGCTCTCAGATGCACAAGACTCGGGGAAGCGGAATTCGGGTGGTCCCCGGGAGCTCGCCCACTCCTGGGCTCCTGAGAACCGCATAACACACACCGACCAATAGGTCCCGCAAGTCTGTGGTGAATTTGTCAACTATTTCGGCGAAACTGTAGTGAATTAGTCTTAAATTTCAATCTGCATTTGTAAAGACTACATGCGTAGGTTTTGAACCGGGGGCCCTTAGATTCGAAGCTTTGGGAGCAACCGCGTCCCGGGGCTCTCAGTTGCGCAGAGACTCGGAGAGCGGAATTCAGGTTGTCCCCGGGAGCTCACACAATCCTGGTCTCCCGGGGACACCGCGTTCGAGTGCAGCGTCAGAGGGCTGTCTAGTCGTTCCCCTGCTCGTCGTCGCGACGCGCCCTGCTCGCCCTCGCGTGCTGGCCATCGGGCAAGAACGCGCAGCTCCGGGGCTGGTGTACCATCGAGGATG